TTGCAGTCTGTCTCTTCGAGTGTCGAAAACTGGTGTTTGAAAGAAACAAGCGATGATCACAACAAAGAGTCAGTAGTCTGTCTCCATTGTCTGATCGACTGCTACCGAGACCAAAATCACCCCCTCGATGGCGCTCACTTAGTGTCAGGTGGTCCACTCGTGCATTTAGGCCTTCGGCAAGAATGACAATATCTGACTTTTAGCGGAACGCAGATCATGTAGTTGTTGATGAAAGCAATGCCTGACTGCATCGGAGCTGCATTTTGTAGGAGCGTAGGTGGAGCTGACAAATAAAGCGTGTGTAACATCTCGACCCTTATTTGACTTACATGAACTTCGAAATCTGACTACACAAAGCCGACTGTTGACTGGGATCCAGTTAGGCAGAGCGGACTCAGCCTTGTCATTCAGAGCAACCCCAACACCAGTCTGGCCAGAAGCGGCAGCCTCAGGGTCACCGGACAGGCGTAAATGGTATTTGGCGTCAGGGTTTGCCGAAGTGGCCATTCTGATGACGATAGTGGAGCCTTGCAATCTAGTTTCTGCGAGGTAACAGACGTCTACGTAGAGCGTCTCAAGATTGCGGGTCAGGCATGCTTGTTGTCCGATCTGCATCAGAGTGCAAACATTGAACGCTGTGAGGCTGAATGGAGAACCACGTCTAAAAAAAGCTGCGGCTTCAGTGGGGTGTGAAAAGGCTGTAGTCGCTGGGCATGGGGCACCAAGAGTTTGACTCTGACTTTTCTCAGTTGCGACGAGTGAGTTGCTGTTGGCGGTGACTGGGGAGAATATAAGTGTAGTTGACTAGTGGGATGTGGGACGATCAGTGAATGGGGATTCCGCAATAGGAACAGTAGAGTAGGTAGACATGGCAAGAGAGGAAGCAGCAGTATTGTGCGTTCATGATTGATCAGCGGGCGCGATACTACTCGGTTGCCCAGACCGAAGTAGAAGGTTGTCTTAAGGGGCCCTACCCCAAGCCTTTGATCAAGGATCTAACCTACAAGGCAGCAGGGCGATATGAGGGCGTCGCAACCCGTTGGGAGCCGGTGACCAAATAAGTGGTTCATACGCCTTTAGGTCCTGCAAAGGACCAGGGCCCAACACTCCCCGAATTTACAATACCACTCAGGGAGAGACAAGGAGCAATGAGTTTATTTAATGGCGTCATATCCGCCACACCACAGTGTTAGACGAACATTTGTGGCTTTTTATAGAGAGAACGCTTGCCGAGGCGAAAACCCACCACGTCCTGGAGCACTGCTGCGAGTGCGGGATAGTCCCGAACCATCGAGCTGGCATCACGAGGAGGTTGTTCGGTCAGCTAGCCGGAACTACACTGCGTTGACATGAATCTAGTTGCAGAGTCACTGGTACTTTCACAGATGGGAGAGTTATTCGTCTTCAGTAAACCCCCCACCGTGAGCGTTGCGGAAACTCAGAAAACAAGCCAGTATCAGTGGCTGCGGGGCCGTAGTTGCATCCAAGAGCACTCGAAAATCAGCAGCTGCTACTTCTACTATCATACCCAAGACTAATGTGAGAGGCAACGCTGCACTGGTGCGTAGCAAATCACCCGGTCTCCCAACCACGATCCATACTCCCATGAGAGACGCTCAGAAACAGTGGGATGCACTATCCACTATGTGTACCAAGGTTTCAGAGTCAGCATCGAGTTCATTGATGGAGAAGCAGGTGGACGACCTAAGCCAGTGGAACCCCATAAGCTACCTGCTCGCTGTTCCGACTAAACTCATCAACCTGACGAGGATCACCCGTCATCCGAATTCCAAGCACTGTGCTGAAATCAGGCTTCTTCAGTTTGTCGAGAGAAGCCGTCTTACTTTCGACAGCTCGTCTCCAGAATCCTGTTTGGTCCGTGTCTTTCCAAACGTTCCATGGGGCGAGCGAAGCAGAGCTTGTAAGATTGCCGCGCAGACACCTCAGCTAGAACGGTTTTTGTCCATGGCGTCACCCAGTCTCATGAGCACGAAGAATGCGAAGCAAGAGCTCACGATCAGGAGCAACAGCGCTATATTCGTGAGACCCTGTTCTTGAATGACGTAGCTGCTTCTCTCTCAAGGCTGCTAAGATCAGCAAGCTACAATGGTGCGGCCAAAGGATAATGAAGGTCGTGTTTCGAACTAGGCAGATGGCTACTGGAACGCTGGCAGTCACTTCGGAACAGATTGCCAACTGAGCTTCAATACAAAGCATCGAGCGAAACTATCCTCCGACCTAAAGCACCACCTCGGCAGGCAAACGAAGTGTGGACCTCTTTCGAACTACACACTGGTAGCAGGCCTAGAAAAAGTAAGGATCTTCCTTTTCAATCATGTAACCACTCTCCGTGCTTTGGGCAAAATGAGTTGCCAGAGGGGATAATTAAGATGCCGCCGAACCCAACTTCAAGCAGCTCACCGATACTACTGCCAAAATACGGCTAGCGGCTGACCATACAACGGTCGACACAATCTCTTATCCGAACCACGTCTTTCGGTTCGCTGTTGAGAACCGAAAATCTTTCCTACATGTACACCAGTGCTCACGACTTTCGCAGCAAAATTGTCGAGCTTCGGATGCGTCAGGCAACAAACGCTTGGGATCTCATTTCCATAACCGAGACTTGGTTGCGCTGAGAGATTACGAATGCCGTGATCGCGATTCATGGAATGCCACTTCCGAAGCGATCGTCCCAGCAAGGGAAGTAGTGTAATTGCAGCGACTTACAATGCGAACCACTATATGTTCCGGAGACGCGGGTCACCGATTCTCTATGGGGCCGTTTGCGTCTCAGATACAGTGACAACTGCTTCGTTGCAGTCGTTTATCGCCACCTTTGTCCACTCCAGAGATGAATTCCCGTCCAATATCGGCATTGGTACTGAGCATACTCCCGACTTACAGCCACGTTATTATCTCAGACGATTTCAGCGTACACGACCTGCACGCCTTGGCATCCCCCGGCGAAACATTCAAGAGCCTATCGCAAGTATTCCACTGTACAATCACTTCATCTCGCCTACCAGGAACAGAGCTGATAACAAAGCTTTGGTAATAGAACTCGTATTTACAAATTAGGAACTCATGATCGACTGGCCACTGATAAGCGCCCCACTGAGGCTAACCGATCACGTCACCATACTTTAAAACTATGTTACGCTGAATATGCGAGATAACACACTTAACTGACTCGTACTATCACACGCCACAATATCCTAACCGATCTGGTTGCTGTGACCGGGTGGGACTTCTTGAAAATGGCTCCCTGACAGCGCCTGTATTCAGTTTGTTGGACGTTTCAGCACTCTGCCCGTAGCTGCTTCAGAATCTAGGCGGGTTTGCTCCACCGATCCATCGTCGTTCATCAGAAGCAGAACTCGAAAATGCATATCACTAAGAAATGCAGCTTGGCACACTTGCAGAGCTCGTCCTTGTCCTGAAATCTGAAGCGATCACGTGACACGCTGCGCACATACAGTTCTACCAGAATCGGTAACAATCACCCGAGGGCGCTGAGCGTAGCCGCAATAACTGGCCGACCCATTATCACACTTTTTCCAAACGTGCTAACCATGTGGAAACAGGGTCTTATCACGCCAATTTTCATAAGAAGGGTTCGCGCTGAACTCGCAAACTTTGGCTCTGTGGTCCTCTTCCCTATACTCTCCAAGGTGATGGAGGCAATCATCGTTGAAAATTTAGTCAATCATCTGGAATGTCACATCCTAGCACTTGAGCAGCACGGTTTCCGTCAACACCAATCACGCACAACCAACCTACTGATATCACACAGTAGTTGGACGGGGGTGGCCGACAAAGGCAGAGGGACCGACGTTATTTATCTCGACTTCTCGAAATCCTTTGACCGCTTGTATCACGGCATTCTCTTTCATTTGCTGGAAAGCGATGAAGTTGTGGATCACGAATTTCCTGCAGAATCGGCAACTGCAGATTAGAGTTCGAAGTGCGCTATCTGATCCGATTCATGTGGAATGCGGTTCCACAAAGATAAGTTCTGGGGCTGCGTCTGTCTCACATGTAGATTACGCTATCCAAGCCTGGCCGCCCTGACACAAGTAAGATCTCACAGCACTCAAAACTTCACAGCTCAGAGCCACAAAGTACGTCAAAAGGTTGTTTCACCTGCTATGTCAACGCAGGCTGACGACGTTACGCTTGTATAGCGGCCGGTATCGGCGCCTACGTGGCGACCCAAAAATGTCCTACCAGATTTTGAGGAACCCCAACCATGTCTGTCGCCACCTACTGTAAATCAGTCACAACACGAATTTGATGGGCCACTAGCTCAATTTGACCATGCAATATAGTCGGCTAGAATGTCAGCGAAACGTTTGCCCTCTTCGTGTCTTCACAAATTATGTTATTTCCACCCCTACTTTAGCTGCGCTTAAAAATCATCTTGACGTTGCCCTAACCCACCTACATTACAAGATATAGCCAGTTTACCTCGACAGACGATATAATGTTACAAACGTTTCACAACCATCACTAAGATACACTAACAATGTTGGCTCTTTACTGCATACCACTGTGTGAACAATGTGGTGAGTCCACTAAAACGAGTTTTGCTATATCAATCAGTTTTTGATTCATCATTGTCGTTGCTATTCTGACCATCCTACGGGACTTGTTAAGCATCTGCGTTTTTACCCGTAATACATCATTGTTCCGTCTTATCCAAACTAGGAAGACTTTAACCAACCGTCAGTGCCTTGGAACAGAGTAGTTTTTTCAGCGCAAGCGCTGTGCTTGCGGGTCACCGATCATCACTCACTTAGCGCATTGTGAATTTCACTAGACCAGCCTTATTCTCAGTGAATAGTGAGGCAAGCTGAGTTTAGGATTTTCCGTCACGAAAGTTTTGGTTTTATTGTGGCGATCTACGCTTTATCTCATGTATGTTGTCTAATCTTCCAATTTTGTCGATTGTGCGGGCTCCACGCGCCTAAGCTTTATCTTCTTCTCACTCCTTTTAGGCAGACGATTTCACGGGCTGACTACCCATTGGCTCGGTAGTTTATTGCCGCAGACAATCTCTGGGGCTCGAGTTCCAATATACCTGAAGACGAGCTCCTTTCATTTGCCACGAAGTAGCAGAATTCCGATTATCATGGTGGCAACTGGCACGGGTCTGGCCCCGTTTCGAGCTTTTATCCAAGAGCGTCAAAGTCAGTTGGATGCACACGGTTAGCAAGTTGTTTTGTTGTTGTTTCTGCCTCACAAACCACCCCTCACCCTTGATTGTACGTTTTTTCCGTTCCTGTTTCCTGCCGTGCAGAATGCAGCAGGAGTGCTTAATACCACACCCACCTTGACTCGACACAGATTGCTCTTGGTCTTTTTGAATTAAACAAACGCCACGAACGCACCGGGCCTGTTTTCACCTCGATACGCACCAGTTCGTCCATTTGGTTGTCTCTACTAGATTCATGGTTGCTACGCACGAGTCCAGCAATAAGAGCAACCCACATGCAGCACAATGTTGTGTCTATCGATAAAGTGGGTATTCGCGATCCCAAACTTTGATTCCTTTCGCTGTCATTCATGTGATCTTCTTAATCACTTGGAAGACCCTCTTCGCGATTTTTAGCGAATACTATATAGCTGAGTTACCCTAGATATATTGTCTGATTCGGACTGGTTCACAAAGGTTTCGTGATCAAGTTTCCAGTCCTCAAGGACCGTCATAAAACACGTTCACAGGTTTAACCGTAACTCCTCACCTCATTGACTACTTCCTTGAATTCTCCCTCTTGGATCAATTTTATGGGATGATGCAGTTTGACAAATTCTCCACTTCCATAGACGAGCTCGATTTTCTCTTGTTTTCAACATTGGATGTCACAACGAGTTTCTTCCCCTCATTCATGGCGAACTTTTTTCGCTGTTTCCAAGCCAAATTAGTGCCACAGAATCCCGTGAACTCACCTCTCCGCCAAACACTACAAACTTCATTCCGACGATGCTTTGGTTATCTTTACCCACTCGTCATTACTTTCGCCTCATGAAAAACTGGATATGCCGCCGTAGTTGGAAAACAATCCACACTCATCTTACCGTCAATCTTAGTGCTAGGTATCTACCGACCACCGGTGAATATCGCTGACTCAGCTATCCTCGGTTTCCTTTTGATAAAAAGCCTACCCTACTGGCCTGTTGTTACTTAACATTCAGAACGAGAGAAAGAGGCGAATCTGGTCCCTTCAAAACCGTTGAGCTCGTTTTCTTTCTTTGACACAAGGGCTTTTGGTTGTTCCTCTAGAGTGGTGGTTCTCAATCTTTTTGAGGTTTTTACCCACCGGGTGGGTTTACTACAAACTATTTACACCGGTGAGACGAACGATGACAAAGTATACTGTGAAGGATACATTCGACCTGATTGACTGTGTGCAAAACATGAATATTGCTGACAAGGTAATGTTCTCAATGGACGTACAGTCTTTGTTCACTAACATCCCATTAAGAGAAACGGTGGATTTTTATGTGAGTTTTCATGAGTAATAAAGTAATGTCGCCGATTCCCGTGAAATACCTTAGGTATTTGCTGCTACTATGCACGGAAAATGTGTATTTCTTATTTGAAGACAAGCCGTACCGACAGGTGGATGGTGTAGCCATGGGAAGTCCGCTTGGTCCGGTATTGACTGACATCTTCATGACGATGGTTGAAATGAGATGTGAGCCGCACATCAATCAAATGTGTTTATACCGGCGATATGTAGATGACACACTAGTGATCGCTCCAAGTGGAGACGCTGTTCTAGCCTTTCTCAATGTGCTCGATAACGCACATTCAAACGCCCGTTTTACCTGCGAACTGGAGGATAACAATTGCCTTCCGTTTTTGGATGTGTTGTTGACCAGACGAGAAGACGGCTCCATAAAACGTTCTGTTCACAGGAAAGCCACAGGGACAGGATTGTATGAACATTTCAGTAGCTTCGCCCCTATACAATACGAGCGGTGCTTAGTCAAGATGCTGTTTAATCGAGCCCGCAGAATATGCACTGACGACTGTTTGGAATCAGACGCTACGGGCCAACGGATATCCAGAGGCGTTTATTCGATTCCACAGTCAACTGAAGCAAAACAGGCCGAGGGTACTTACTGTGCCCAAACTGTCATTCTACTTTCAATTACCTTTCAAAGGTGATATCGTGGCCACCCAACTCGAAAGTCGTTTGCATACAGCGATTCGTCGGACATTCAATGCCGCCAAATTCTGCCCCATTTGGGAGACCAGGAAGTTGCCTATGCCTCCAGTGAAGCCTACTCAACCGATCTCCGCCACAACCCATTGCATTTACCAATTCGTCTGTAACTGCGGTAGTAGTTACATTGGCAGAACAGATCAATACTTGGGTAAGCGCATTGGAGAGCATATCCCAAAACGGATTGCTAAAATATCGACACAACCAGCAGCCGAACGAGAAAAAGGTATCTAAGCTGCCGGCATCATCGATAGCCCGACATCTACACGAATCAGGCCATCAGGTTGACCCTAAGTCAACATTTACAGTTCTCTATCGAAATGACAACCCCAAAGTGTTGAGGTTTGCCGAAGCGGTGGCACTTAACCAGCATCGCCCCATCCTGTGTGTACAAAAACAATTAACAGTCTCCCTGAAGCTTCCTTGGGGCTCATTACCCTAAGATCAAGCTCGCTGCTCTGTTATTCTTGCATCTACGTAATTTTCCTTTGTGACCAGTTTCAAATCTTCGATTTTTCTATCACGTGATTCACCTTTATGTTGTTAGTTTGCGAGTGAGCAGATAACACGAAATGGTTGCATCTCGCAATACCAGTCTTCTCATTGTCTTATTTAGAATGATCAAGGGAACTCAGTGCTTTAAATTACCCAAAAGGTTTAGTTTTTACAGCTAATTAGTTATTAACTATTGCATTTTTAAAAAATGTCATACAGCCATTACCCTACAAAAATTTCAATAGAACAAGAACAACGAACATTCCTGCGAAATAATCTGAATTCAGCATATTTTGTGTATTCTCTTCAGTCGCTTACATACAATGGGTGCAAATGTCAAACGGTTGAGAGTAATGGGTCAATAACAGAAATCGATGGTTAGTTGCGTTGGCTAACCTGTCTCACCCCACCAAAGCAAAGCAAGATTGGCCACAAACTCGTTGTTTGCATAAGTTAGGCTTCAAACACCGGATTGCGGAAACTTCGGCAAAACGCAACAACTTGGGTTGCTCTGTCTGTTGATGACCTTGAATGCTTCGCGGGCATTCTGGCACATTGGGCAGTCGAATAAGTGCCGGGCAACCGAGCTGGTGGGTAATGTTGCACTAGAGCTAGATTCCGTGGTATCTGTTCTGAAATCCGAGTAGACAACCTCCTCTCTGTCCGGCCAATGTACATGCTACCGAAAGTATAGTTGAATTGGTAAACCAATGAGACGGTGATAGTAGGGTGAGGCTTGTCCAAATGGGTTCTGTGGAGCAACACAAGCTCAGCTGTCTAGTAACATCTCTTTATGGCCTGACGTAAGCAACAGTAAAACGTCTTTCATTTTCTTCCTCTCCTTTTTTGAGGCATAAGTTCGCTCTTTGTGCGACCTGGGTTTCTCCCTATACCTTGAGATAAACTTGTCAGGGCACGCATTTTCACGTGGGGTGAATGCGATGCCCTGTAGTTCTTCTTCAATCATTTCTTCTGAACAGCTACGATGGGCTCTCACAAGAGATGCGCGAACCAGGGAGCGCTTATAGCTCAGGGGGCAGTAGCCTTCGAAGTTCAGGTATTGCGCCGTCCAGCCCGGTTTGTGATAACTTGATATCAGGAGCGACCTTTCTGATTTTCTTTCCAAGGCTACATCCAAGGATTGGAAATGTCCTGATGTTTCGCTTTCCATGGTGAACTCGATCTCTGAACGACTTTCACTAAACGTTTTGAACATGCGTTCCGCTTTCTGGGCTTCGTCCACTACCACAAAAGTATCATTAATATATCGAGCGTACAATTGTGCTTCCTGTATGGAGTGACAATTTGGAGTTCTCTGGATGGGTTACGAAGATGTCAGCCAAAATGGGGCCAAGTGGACTGCTCATCGCTACACCATCAATCTGTGGATAGAGACTAACATTGAAACAAAATTGAGCATCTTTTGTACAGATACGAATTAAGCTCTTTGGTCGATGTGGTGAAAACCGCACTCTGCCTGCGTAACTGCCTATGCTGTTCATCACTTTTTCCAATGGGACATTTGTAAATAATGAACAAACTTCAAAAGACACCATTTGATAGTTTTGTGCGGGTCCGTAGACACATGTGGCACCATGCCAGGTGTACTAGTGGCCGTGTAGAGAATATGGTTGGCGGCATCCGGTTCCGGATTTGCCTGTCATTGTGGTCTCCACAGGACGTCTGCGCCTACGGAGGGACCATGGGTGGCGTGCGCTGTACCACCAACAGCTCCATCCACACACCCCATATCCAGTGTAAACCCGAAGGAATAAGACCGGGATGCATGTGGATGGGAGCCATGCCTCATCAATGTAGCCGGCCTACACTTCTTCACAGGCAAACACAAGCACACTGTATTTGGGAATCAAGCGCACACAAAGCGGTGGCTAGACCGTAGTCCGTTCTACGCACAAACCATATGTATGAAACCACTCTTCAAGTCACAGATCGCCCACTGTGGCTATGCATTTCACATCGCACAGGCGTGCAGCCATCGCCTTCTTCTACTCCATCCTCTTCTCCACAATACCTGAGGAAAGAACGTCATATTTCCGACGGTTACCGGCAGGAGTGCAATACATCGATTTACGAAAATATATACACAGTTTGGTCCGCACCAATTTGTGATCAGTGCGTCTCTCAGGTCCACGCAGTACACGTGTCATGCGCACTTCACACATGTTACGCTGATGTACGATGACATAGTCGAGCAGGTGAGCGTGACCACTCCGTGGGTGCGTCTGAGTTGCCATATCACTCAGTGCGAACCGAATGTTTGTGATCGTCAGGCAGTGAGAGCAGCCTATCGCCGTTCGCATTCGCTGATCCAATGCCACGTGGATCGATGACATTTGTCCACACGCCCAACGCGCGCGTTGATAACACCCAGCATGGCGCTCGGCCCGCTGCCTTTCGGGTGTATACTTTATGGGAGGCTTTGGCTGAGGACCCGAATCGCTCCCGTCAGGTGTGGGCGCCCTGGCAGTATCCTAGTCCAACCCCCAAATATGAATTACCCTAATAACAATAGATGCATACTGCATCGGTCGTCGCACAGTGGTCTTAAGAAAAGAGTCGCTTTATATGCTGCATACAGCGGGACGGATAAGTGAAAGCATGCTACTGCTGGTGCCTCCCTCCTTTATTCTTCCGCTGCACATATTCTCCCCCTCCCGGTTTCACCGAACCCACCACTTCCTCCAATCCAGGACGTCGCCTCCCATACGGTTGCCCGTCAATGCAGTCGTATGCTTCCGCGCAGAGCGCTCAACATTGGGTGCTAGAGCGTGCTCACTTTGCTCGACCGGAATACGAATGAGCGTCCTGAGCGACGCACTGCACTGGTCGCCATGTAATAGGCGCGCTACAACTTCGATATTGTGACGCTCATTGGGACCCGGCTCGCTATGGTAAGTTGCACGAAGTTGGTGCTGGGTATACCCTCTACTGGGTGGGCAACATCACCCCCGCACCACGTGAACATGGGGTCGGATTTGCAAGATATATATATATATATATATATATATATATATATATATATACATATATATATATATATATATCACATGTCAAGTCCGTTCACAAAACGATTGCACTATCCCGAGGAAATAACAAAATCTACCGGTTTTGATGGCTGGAACTCAGGATTTTTTAACATTGTGAGTGCTCTGATCCAAATGTTCGTCCGGGTAGCGATTAACCTGCTGTACCGTGACTCCATAGCCCACTACGCTAACTTTTCATCCAGTGCAGGAAACATGTTTGTTCTACCGCGTACTGCTCTCTTACCTACAGGCATTAGTGGCAATTCTAACTTTTCCTATGGCCATTATCTCACTTGCTTTTCGTTCACAGTGAAATGGCATGCAGTCATACAATTATTACATTGTTTGGCGTACGCGATAACTTCAATTTGAAGCCAGTGGCATATGCACATTACTTCTGTCCAGACAACCTTTTACGTTTCCACGGCTTTTGAAGATCTCACGAAATGTGGACACTTCCCTCAGCTGGATCATGTGACGTCGCGTTGGCGCTCTTTTGGATAGCGCATCACAGCGCTTATACATTTATGCTATGCTAGTTAATCTGGTGCATTAAAAGTACAACTTCGTCTTACACCACTGACCGTGAATTCCACTCTCACACACTGCTCTACTGTGATTCATATGCGTGAGGTGAAGTTTCTAACATACCATGCCTTACCTGTTTCATGTTACTTGGCATCTGATAAGTACACAACTGATCAGTAGTAGAGCAGCTTTCGCTTAACCACACTTAAGTGAGAGCAGGTAGTGATAAAGACAAAATCGTGGAGAAACAATTTCGTGTATCTTTTTGCTGATTTTTCCGGGGCAGCTAAAATAGGGATTTAGGACTTTGGACAACTTTGATGCTGCAAACTTATACTGTCGGCTTACCTATGGACGGGTTTATATTCTGTAATATACAGTGTCTGAGCGGCTTTTGACATTTGTTTTTAATTGTTCATTATACAACTGCTCTTGTTTAAAGGTTTTTCTCGTTTTTGCCTTGGTCAACGCATCAGCTGTAAGATCTCACTACCCCGTTAAATGGAAGATATTTTAGATCCAATGACATAGCTCTATTTGGCAGTTTGATACCTTAACTCTCGTGACATGCATGACATTGGAGGAAAATCACACTATCTCGCGGCGTGTAAGTTAGGAACGTCATCTGCTACCGCGTCACCCACGGCTTAACAACTTGGACCACTTGAAACCACTGCACTCCATGACGCGTTTCGAGGTTATTTCCTCTCATCAGATAGAAATAGCAGGCATCGAACCCGGGACCATTGGGATGTTAGTTGTGACCGCCACCCCTAAGCCACCGGGTCACGACGGGCAAAGCTTGGCACAACGGTTAATGACACATTGGAAAGTTAATTTGAAGTACACGTTGTGTGAATGGATTGCGACGCGCAATCTCAAAGTGGACCGCGATTCCCATTGAAGTGAACCTTGGCCATTCGATCACTAGGACCGTAGCTGATGAAGCAGCAGCAAATGGGTGTTGCCCGCCTGAAACCACTGCACTCCATGACGCGTTTCGAGGTTATTTCCTCTCATCGGTCCTAGTGATCGGATGGCCAAGGTTCACTTCGATGGGAATCGCGGTCCACTTTGAGATTGCGCGTCGCAATCCATCCACACAACGTGTACTTCAAATTGACTTTCCAATCTTTCCAACTTGGACCACTGTTTTCCTAGATGGGAGTGACGATTTTGAGCCCCGGAGGATTACAGGAGAACGTGCACTTCTGATAGGCTCCTAGAGGAGGGAAAGCACAATCTCTACTCACCATAGCTGTTATGTTTTTCCAATTGGAATTTTATGACGTTGTATTCTATATTACTCCGGTTGTATGTGCGAAACAGCCAATAATTTCCTATTTGCCGACATAAATCACGTTGCATCCCGCAGTCAGGCCAAAACGCAAACGCCATGCTACTCTTCTTCGGATGTCGAAATACTCGGGAGTTCATCTACTCGAGCGAAATCGAAAGTGCACGCGACGCCGGTATCATTCAGTTATATTTGGCCTTGTCCAGGGAGCCTGGAGTCAAGAAGACGTATGTGCAGGACCTTCTGTTATTGAGGTCCATTGAGGTCTGGCGTCTGATCGACGCACAACACGCTCATGTCTACGTTTGTGGGTAAGCCATCATACTCTGTTATTGTTCGGTCAAGTGACGCCGCGTTCATTAATGACGATATGTATTGCGGGAACTTATCCTGAGAGTTATTAGTTCACCTACCACTACTTACAGGCTGTGCTGCTCTGTGGCGACTTGTGTCTGAGTCACGTTCGCTGAGCCAAGAGGTCTCAAGTACGGCCGGGTCGAAAGCGTATAGTAGATTAACATACGAATGGGAACCATCCCCGAAAGCACTGAAATATTTCAACATAATTTGTGTATTTCGATAAAGTCCAATTATTCTCGCATCTGTGTGAATTTTCTATGTGCTTAAAAAATCATTTCTTTGTGCTCACTGCTATTCGTAAAGCCACAGTATTAAAACCAATCACGTAACCATGTTTCTTTTGCGTTTTGCGCGCTCCTCATCAGGTCTCCTGCGATGGTCCGCGACGTGCAAATATGTTTCATTAAAGTCATCTCCATTCAGGACGATAAATCAACAGACTGGGCTGAAAGATACATGGACAGACTCAGGGCTGAAGGGCGATATCACCTGGATGTCTGGAATTAACTCGCTCCCACAAACATTTCGGATCGGTGTAACTCGTTACGGCTTCCCATTTGTCCTTCACTCACGACACCGGTGGGATCCCGTTTTACTACCGGTGCTCCCTTTATAATATATGAACTTCAAAATTCACTTTGTAAATATTCACTGTTTTTCCTTGCAGTAACAATCGGCTTTGAAAATCGATAGTCCCCAACACGAGGAGCCATATCGATGAATATTCCTCCGATTCCGAACGTTTCAAACAATTTTTATAGCAATTTACCGGTGCAGCTGATCTATCCCAACCCTACATTCTATGATGTGTTTCGTCTTTGTTTGGGCTAATCATATCGTGATAGCCTTAGCTGAGAGCGGAACGCGACACAGTGATTGACGACTTACGGCTTCGTGACTAGTCTAGAACTCTGTCAGCAGGACTTTACATAGAGCTGAATAATTCTTTTCACATAAGGAACTGTGGTGTGCGGTCACATCAGTTCTGCCTTCTGGTTCACTCTGCATTTTCGAGTTCGAACTTCGCCGCACACTAATTTGCTGACATTCATTCCACCGAGCTCGGCGTTCTCCATCCAGTGAAACGAGTCTGTCGGATGTATTCGCTGCGAATTCCTGCCTAACGTTGGTTATCAAATTTGATGCACTCCCAGCCAAATCGCACGAGCACTATTCTATCGTTTTTAGTCTTATCTCAGAAGTAATTCCAATATCTACCCAATGAGACCATACTGAATCCAGTCGGTTACTACATAAGCCAGCTGGAAGTGCTTCAACATCCATCGACATGATCGCTATCTACGATTTGCCTGCAAATGAATCGGTTTCGAACTGGTTACAAATGGCTTGATGTGTGACTCCGCCTTGGCCTGAGCGATAAGTCTTGCGACCAACGAGCGCAAACGACCTTGACGTGAAATTGGTGACGGTATGGTCTGTCCACCTGCTTTCTATATTCTTATCTGGATAAACAGATAAAGTTTCCGGATCACTAGTTACTTATATTCAATTAGTTTATAATCGCGAAATTAGCGGTCAGATTCTAATTAAATTATTGATTGCAAATCACAGTCCTGCTTATGGTTGCCTTGTTTTACTCCTCAGTCGCTTGCAAATCTTGAAGAAAAACATTATCATCTGATTACAGCCGTAAACACACGTTTCATGAGAAAGAAAAGTGCCCACAATCAGGCTACCGCAATGAACAATACCACAGCGCTAATAATCGCATTCCCTACAGCACGCAGAACAACAATGAATGCTCTAGATTATAGGATAGAGTAAATGTGCTTGAAAGAGACGCGAGAGTTTAACAAGGAAGCATGGCTGCTTTTAAGCTTCTGGTTTCGATTATGCAATCACTTTTCTTGCGACTGCCGTGAGCAGTTTGCAACTCGAAAAAAGATTAGTGGAGATTGCAATATACCTGAGCTCTCCTGGTGTCCTCAACGCTTCCCATCCAAATATCTGTGTTTGTTATGAACCACACATATTTGATAGGGTTAAACAAATATCATCTCCAACGAGAAACAAACACTACCTTGACCTATTTTTACAATAGGCATAGGCCTTGAAAGTAGATGAATCCTCCCAAGTTCCATATCAGTGACCACAAGATACCAGAGATCTGATTTGAAAGAATCGCTTAAAACCGTAATGCAGTCAACGAGTTATCGTTTCAAATGGACACTGCTCATCGTCTGCCACGGAACCGTGCAAGCCACTAATGGTAGACATCCCTATTGAATTTAAACAAGCGGGTATAAGAATTCTGCTGCAATCAATGATATCATGTTTTCATCCTGACTCAGATGGAATATAATCCGCGTGAGCTCTCATATCGCTATACTGCCTTAAAACATTTTCACGTCATCCAGAAAAACCTGGGGCTTTTCCAGATGTGCGGGAATATGTACTGGTTACATCGAGATGTAAAAGTGATCCACGTCACATACGTATGAAGGATTCAATCATACATCCAATCTGTGTAAGACAATGAAAAGAACAATAGAAGCCTAAAGCGTCGAATTCGCATCGGCCCTTAAGTTGTTCAATATTATGCAGCACAGATTTATGATAACACGATTCTGTATAACCTGACAATAGTCTCTAAACTTTGTGACTAATTCTATTGACCATAGTGAACGCCTGATCATCATAATCCTTGATATTCGTAAACCATTCGACCGGATACTGCACGGGAACTTTCGTTGATAAGACATTTCTTCAACAAGACCATAAATTTACATGATTAGAATTCATCCTACCTTTCTGCTCGACATCAGGCAGTAAAAATACCAAACAAATACTTCCACAAGTCACGAAATGATCCAAGGAAATGCTTTGGGCCTTCTTTTGTTTTTGATGTACACCATAGACGTCTTCGATATCATCAAACACGGTAAACTATACGTATTCGCCGGTGACATCAAAATTGCCTATAAGTTCGGTTCGGGCAATATCAGTAACACCCTAGCCAGCATACAAGCGGATCTGCATAACCTGGAAAATCAGATTCTCATTCGATAAGTGCAACTGCATATGCTACTGATGCAGCATTGCAATACTTTCGTTGCTGCTAGACGGTAAACCACTGTCCACCTATCTCACAATTCGTGTTTTTGAGCCACACTGCTCAAGCTCCTACAATTTCGCCGAACAAGCCCGTAAACTGGGAGGGCTCATACTAAAATCCATTATTTTGAATGAATCCTAAATCTACCTACATAGGCTGGTTGGCCGAATAACCTCCACGTGGTGCCAGCTGGGTGATTCGGGTTAATCCCGTTCCAACGAACAATTTGGCGGCAGTGTTTTAGGACGTGGTGGATTTTTGCCTGGCGGGCGTTCTCCCTATAAGAAGCCACAAAGGTCCGTTTAACAACACTGCAACGTGGCGGCTGTGACTTGCCACTAAGTGAAGTCGCTGGCTCCTCCCCTTCCGGAGGATCACCACTTCATAAACGTCATCCAATTCGACGAGTTCCATTGATCCCTTCATACGATGGCGAACACAGCAAATAAACATGATTACATTCCATTTATCTGGTGAGTTCAGGGTGGAGTTTCCTTTAGATTCTCGGGCACGGGAGTTATTCTGGATTTCCGGATGAAGGGGAATTTTTCTGGCACATGGTCCGAAGATAGATACCGACACAGATAGGTGCGGTTAACCGAGTCAAAGATAATCTTTAAGCCAATATGGGCTGTTCGTAAGTATGGCGCCTCCCGAGCACCTGTCGAAGAGCCAAAATGTGGCCAAGGCGCCCTCTACTTAGGCGGAAGCCAGTTTGACTCCGTCTTTTGCGAGGATCATTGGGCCGCAACAGTTCAGAGGCAAGTGAGAACAGATTCTTATCACTGAAATTTTCACCGAATGTCCTTTGGTTCCTCTTAAAAATAGGAATGAAGTAAGATGACTGCCAGGAGGAGATCGCTTACTACTTGTGCCTGAAAGTGTCGAACATACAAGCAAAGACTAGCCTATTCGTTATTCAGCAACGATAGCAGAAGGTGCCTTGTTACGATTTATCCTCGCTCGTTCGTGTCCAATCTAGTTGACCATTTAACGATTATGATATACCGGACCAGAAAGACCGCACTTAGGAATGTTGGGCCCAGTCGAGGGGATTTACAGCGAATTAGATGTCTATTTTTATTAGCTGCTGTCTCAGTCACAGGAGGCATTATGAACCCATGAATAAGCTGGAATGATACTCGATTATTCTGAACAGCATTAATCTTCGCTGCTCTTGTTGATTATTTACAAGAATTACTAGTGAAAATGTGAGAGCAGGAAACTGTCCCAACCGACTGGAGCTACTGCGTTATTTTTACTGAGCTTCGAAGGAGACTCTCGTTCTGAATGCGGCAACCGTAGAGGAATCAGTCTGGTCCCCATGGCCTCCAATTTACTTGCCTCTGTAATCCTTCACATGCTGTCAGGCACTCGTGAATTCCAGATTCGTGAGGAACAAGCCGGGTTTCGTCGATGTCAGCGATGCATCAACCACATATTCACTTTACGTCAGTTGTTGAAGCACCGTCCCGTATATTGGTGGCCCACCGTTGTCCTGCTTCTCGACATCGTAAGTGCCTTCGATTCGGTTGATCGATGTGCTCTTTGGGACTGTCTGCTAAGGAAAGGTGTGCCCGAGAATTATAAAAATTATGCGAGCGCTTTACGCGCGCGGCACGGACAGAGTGAGGGCTTACGGCGAGCTGTAACCGCCCTTCAATATCTTCAGCGGTGTAAAAAGGGATGCCCGCCGTCACCTTTTCTTTTCAATTTCGCTATTGATGAAGTCATGGAGGTCGCGTTCACAACACATGATTTGTAAGGTGTGTAACTGATCCTAGGTGAACGACTTCTTGACTGGGATTCTGCTAACGATATTGCCCTCATCTGTGACAGCTCACAAACATGCCAAGCAATTCTGGACAGATCAGCACTGGCTGTCAATCGTTTCGGACTAGGCATTGCAACCTCGAAGTGCAGAGCTTTTCACCCGGATTCGCAGGGACCGTCTCCTGCGCTGACACTTGGTATGGTACAGCCAGAAGTCGTTCAGAAGTTCAAATACATACGCAATTGTATCAGCGCCATTTGAATTGAAGACGTTACAAACCGTGTAGCAAAAGCACGAGACGCTATTGCTAAACCGCGAGGCATTGTGGCTGGTGTTGGGTTGTCTGAGTAAATTTGTAAGTTTAATTGAATCTCTGCACAGTGGTGTGCGGGCAAGGGTACAGCTGAGTGGACAGACCTTGAATGACTGCAGTTGTTTCTGGCGTGGAGCAAGGCTGTGTCTTAGCTCCTGCCCTGTTTAGTATATATCTTCATGCAATGTTGTCCTGTGCTTTTGATGCCGCTTGTGCTTACGGTGCTCGTGTGAAGCACCGTATTGATGGTGGGTTGTTGAACATCCGTCGTTTCGGTGCGAGAACCTTAGTCTGTGAGACAACTATCCGTATGCTGCAGTTCGCTGACGACTGTGCGTTGTTTTCACACAGCGCGGCTGAGCTGCAGCACATGACTAGTGCTCTGGCTTCGACAGCGGCCAAATTCGGGCTCACCATCAACACAAGCAAAACTGTCTGTCTCTTTCAGCCTTCACCGGAGGTGCAATCTTCAATATTGCCGCGAATCAGCATTGGTGCTGAAGTATTGGAGACCACCTCTCGCTTTTGCTACCGTGGGAGTGTCTTAGACTGACCAGCAGCTACA